CGGTGCATGAAATTTGGGGCGGGGGGGGGGGGGGGGGGAGGTTGTCCCTCACCTAAGCCTGCACCCTCTCCAATATGGGACCCCTTGAGGGATGTCCAACTGCCTGTTTAGGCCCCATTCTGATAGGATTGTTGGCTCCCAATTGCTTGCCTACCTGCCTTCCTGATTGCCCCTAACCACTTCTGCCTGCCAGCCTGATCACCCCCTAACCACTCTCCTGCTAGCCTGCTTGATGCCTAATTGCTCCCCTGCCAGCCTGTTTGCCCCTAATTGCCCCCCTCTGCTGGCCTGGTCACCCCTAACTGCCCTCCCCTGAAGGCCTGGTCCCTCCCAACTGCCATCCCCTGCCGGCCATCTTATGGTGGCCATCTTGTGTTCACATGGGGGCAAGATCTTTGACCACATGGGGGCAGCCATCTTGTGTGTTGGAGTGATGGTCAATTTGCATATTACTCTTTTATTAGATAGGATTGCCAGTCACATACCTATATGGATGGATGTATCTCTACCTATGGGTTTGTTGGCCTGTCCCTTTCTATCTTCCAAATCTGGGAAGGACTGGAGAGGGCCAGAACCAAACTGTGACTTCAAAACATTTGAGCTGGTACAAAAGCAAGTACCCAAACAAGTGTCTTCTGCCATTGCAGCCCCCTCTTCCCTTCCTTCCCTGTTCCCAGGAGCCTTCGGCCTCTGCCTGCGACCCCACCTCTGCCCTCCCCTCAGTGGAAGACAGTTGTGTGTGCTGATCGTGTCCTCTCGCAGGTTTAACGGCCAGAGCTCCGCTGCACACCCGCAGGGCTCCTGGACATCAAAGGCTCTGCTCCTCAGGGCCTGGCGGGAGCTCGCATCACCAAAGGGAGCTAGCTGCTGGGAAAGCAGCGCTGACGGGCCCAGACTTCACGGGAAAGGACAGCCCCATCTTCTGATCCCCAGCCCACGGGTGCCAGGAGCTCTGTACAGATTGGCATCCTGGTGGCTTTGTTAGTGCTGGTAGTGGAAGTGGGGTCCTTGTGGGGCCACAGGAAAGCCTTCCGGGAGATCCACGCATGGGAGATGGAGGCGTGGTAAGATTTATTGGTGGCACCGGATGCAAAATCAAAGGAGTGCCCCTGGGCTTGCAAAGTCTCATCTCCTTCATCCGACCCTGAAAAAGTCCACTCTTTTCTTGCCTTCATCACACCCAGACCCAGAAACAGGGCCCGTGTCCGGAGATGCCGTGCCCTATTAAAGCTTCGTCCTTTGGTGCCCACACAACCTGCCATGGGCCCACGGCGGCTGCTAGACCCGCCTGATTGCTATGAAGAGTATCTCAAATCTTCCCGTTCTTGCACTAGCCTGGCCTACTCTGGCCAATGACCTGTCCTCAGGTGTGACTAACAGACAAGTACCTTCCCTCTGTCACCCAGACTTCACTGGGGTTGAGTCTATTCTCCCCCATCCAGTCCCTTCCTGTGGCTACCTGGGGAGTGTTCACCATCATCAGTCAGAGGCCAACTGTACTTGCCCATTATTCTGCAACTTTGTGAGTCTGGTTTCTATTGACCTAGCTCCTTTATCTGTGAGCTGGTAGCATTGCTAATTACACCTTCTTTTTTTCAGAGTTGTGTCTGAATACTTTACTACCTCAGAGCCAGCTAGCTAGCAAAAACTAGTTTAGATGCTAACCTCCACAAAGATCATATTGAAATAGAAGAGAGGTTAGGAACTTCTCAAATTAGCCTTATCAAAATTGTTAATGGAACAGCCCATAAATTCTCATATCTAACCCAGGGTTTTTGTAGTTTATTCTCATTTTGGCTATGACTAGAAGGTTGCATGTGTTCTTCCTTAGAGTCCTGCAGAATTTTAGTATCAGACATCCAGTGCCAGCTAGCTTAAGTAAGAGAAGGGACTTTGTTGTTCACATAACGAGGAGAACTACTGGGGAGGCTCACAGGATCAAAAGAACTATAGAGCCCCAGGGCCTGCAACCAATGACTCCATTCAGGCTCTCTCTGACGCTCTTGTTGACATCTCATCGTCTCTGTGTCTGTCTTTTTTGGCCTCATTCTTTACTTTTGCAATCTTGCCTCCATATGTGACTTTTAGTTTTTCAGCCAGAAGAGAAAGAAGGGTTGGGTTAGGTCTTTAGTCCCAATGCCAGGAAGATGGGATAATATGGTAGGCCAGGCCTGGGCCACATGGCTGTATTCCTGTTGTCAGAAGGACCACAAAAAAACTACTGCTCAGTTCAGGCCTTGACTCAAACCCATTGTCAGAGCCCCCTACCCCAGGCATAGACAGACCAACCTTGTAAGTGATCCCTGAAATATTCAAAATCCCCCAAAAGGAGAAGACAGTGCCATAGACTATGGTAAGGCCCTGCCTGGGAACTGTGGCTTGGGGGAATTCTGTTTTGGGTTTTCACGGAGTCTCAGAATTCATTTCATTGCACCCAAGGTCCACTATCTTATCTACTGGTAAAATAGTCACACTGAATGTTTCCAGTATTGATTGTACTTTCTCCCTAACTACTTGACGGTGAAAAAAAAAATATTGATGGGGATGTGAAGGCCAGGAAGGACTGGAAAATAGCTGGGGGGGAGAAGGGGGAGGACACCACCCCCCCCCCCCCCCCCCCCCCCCCGCAGGGAGGAATGTGCCTGGGGGTAGGGCAGGCAGGGGAAGGTCTATGGGGGGAAAAAGGAGACATATGTACTACTATTTCTAATTCTTTAAACAATAAAGGAAAGAAAATAGCTCTCCATTTCATGGATTTATGACCAAGATTAAACTATATTAACAAAAGAGGCCAGAGCCTGGTCAGCATGGCTCAGTCGTTGAGCATCGACTTATGAACCAGGAGCCCATAGTTCGATTCCTGGTACGATTCCTGGCACATGCCTGGATTGCGGGCTCAATCTCCAGTGGGAGGCGTGCAGGAGGCAGCGATCAATGATTCTCTCTCATCATTGATGTTTCGCTCTCTTTTTCCCCTTCTTCTTTTATAGCTATAAAGCACCTCTGTTATTGAAATTTTTTCCCCAACATAAATATTTTTAAAAGAGGCCAGAACTTTTTATTTACTACTTCTCTCTATGACTTATGGGCATATTGTTGATTTTTGTTTTTAACTTTTCAAGTAAGGAATATTTGACACGTTTATGAAACCCACATGTATTCAGGGACTCATTAATCTTAGTGCCAGGGGTAAGGCTTGTTTTTAGGCCCATGGGATCTTGGATCTTGATCTTGGATTGAGATCAAGATCAGTCAGACTCGACTTTTAGAAGTAATGTTGTGCTCCCTTTAAATATGTATAAGGATACTGAAGTAACCCTGGTAATTATTTGAAGAAAGTACTACAGTGGGGGTCTGGGGCCATTCACAGTTGCTTGGGAATGCACTCACAGCCAATCACTTGTTCTTTGGCAGTTCTTTATGGGGGGCCCTGACTGTGCTAAGTGCTAGAAACAATTGTGTAGGGTAATACGCCTGATCTTACCGCCTTAGAGCCTGGTTTAGGGTTTTGCCCAGGTAAGGAAATGGCCCACTTTTAAATTTGAATTGGGATCCAGTATTAAAGACGACAGTGCAGAGAAGTGAAGATAAAACCTACTTGATATCTCCCAGAAGCAAAGGGGCAGGTAGAGGGTGGGAACTTGATTCTTGGATCAGAAGAACTTGGGTTTGACTCATAGCAAAGACACCCCTTAGATTTGTGACATTGGGAAATGAGTTCACTTCTTTAAGCCTCTGTTTTCTCATCTGTAAAATGGGACTGATAATAATACAAACCCAAAGGGATTGTTTGATATGTTTTAATAAGATAATCCAAGGAAGACATTTAGCATTGTATGGGCACATTGCTTGAAAAATCACTGTGATAATTGTAATAACCTTAGGAATCATGATTTTTTGATCCCTGTGTGTCCTCTTTCCATCGTGCACTTACAACCTCTCCCAAATCTCCATACACAGAGCAAACCACCACTACCAGCTGGGGCGGGGGGGGGGGGGGGTGGTGAGTGGGGGAGGCATGAGGTCTTCAGCAGAGACTTTAGAATCAGGGTGACTTGGGGTTACATGCAGGATTAAACTCTCAGAGATCCAGTTCCTCAACTGTAAAGTGAGAGTAACACAGGTTGGGAAGGTTAGCGATAATAATGAGCTCCACTACAGGTTGGCTTTTTAAAAACTTCTTATCTGGCCATCTTTGTGAGCCCAGGCCATGGTGGTGGTTTAAGCGAGGATCTCTAGAAGACAAATCTTAGCTGTCCCTGATGTCAGGGTTTTCCTTCTAGCCCTGAGCCAGACTTCATTGCTTTTCGTCTGGCCTGCATGGTTTCCTTCAAGCCAAGGTCGTTGGAGGCATGATAATGGGCACTGACACTTGGAAATAGCTATTCAGATAACTCCTCCTGGCATGATTGCCAATGAAGAGGCAATTTCAGCCCCACAAAGAGTGGATGTGTAAGACTGAACCACAAATGCACACCAATATGGTTGTGATTTTTCATCAAGACTGGCAAGAGAAATTAGCAAATAAAAGATTTGTTTGAACCGAAACCGGTTTGGCTCAGTGGATAGAGCATCGGCCTGCGGACTGAAAGGTTTCTGGTTCAATTTAGGTCAAGAGCATGTACCTTGGTTTCGGGCACATCCCCAGTAGGGGGTGTGCAAGAGGTAGCTGATCGATGTTTCTAACTCTCTATCCCTCTCTCTTCCTCCTCTCTGTAAAAAATCAATAAAAATATATTTTTAAAAAAAGATTTGTTTGAGATAGAAAAATGATGTGCAAAGGTCAAAGTTTCTTGAGGAAGGTCTCTTCCTTTCTGTCTGGTACTGGAAAGCTACAAATCAATAAAATGTCTGCGTTTCCTCAAGTTATTCATTCTTTGCATCGGAGATTCTTCCCCTGATACCACTGCACTCGAGTCCCTGTTGAGGAGAAAAAAAGCATGGGGAGGTTTAAAAGCTCTGTGCCATCTGCTGACATTCTCCCTGCTTGTGCCTTGCAGCCTACTTCTGCTTCCTCCTGACGGCTCTGGGTGTGACCGCTGGTGCCCATCGCTTGTGGAGCCACAGGTCCTACAAGGCCAAGCTGCCTCTGAGAATATTCCTGGCTGCCGCCAACTCCATGGCTTTCCAGGTAGGGATGGCGTGCATGTTCCTCCACACACATTCTAGACCCACCGCTCTGGGCCCAAGCCCTCCCTGCCTCTCCCAAGTTTTCTCTCCTTGGAGCTTTACATGCTGTAAAATGTCACCTGGGGACTTCGTGGCTCAAGACCTCAAGACGTCAATTCCCAAAACTGTGCTGACCCACAGAGGAGGAAGGAGATGCCTCCCTCCAGAGTCCCAGCCCTCCATATGCCCCGAAACCCTCTGTTTTTGTCCAGCTCGAATGAGAGCCAAGTTCCGTGCTGAGTATGCTATGTACGTACAGCATTTGATCCTCCCTGTGACCCCCTTGCATTAGATGTTGTGTGTTCTTGTTTTATAGAGGAGGAAACTAAGGCTTAATGAAGTTAAAGAATGAATGTCAGAGGGAAAGTGGGGGAGGGAGGGTTGGTGGGAAGTAATCAACCAAAGACCTTGTATGCCTATATGCAAAACCCATTGACACAGACTATAGGGTGCTGAAGGCCTGGGGTGTAGGGTGGGGGGCGGGGGGCAAGCTGGAGAGGGTCAATGGGGGGAAAAGGGGACATACTATATAGTATGTAATACTTTCAACAATAAAGAATTATTTTAAAAAAACAAACAAACACGAAAAGAACATAGCCAAATTATATGACTAAAAAATCTAGAGAACATCTAGAGAAAGCAAATTTGGGTCTGATACAAAGCCATTACTCCTACAAAACCTATTTTCGAGGTCACCCTCTAAGTTTGTAGTGGAATGCCTATTCAATATGGAGTCGGAAGACTCGGGATTTGAGTGTCCTGGTTGCTAGTTGTGTATCACTTACTCATCTCCAGTTTCTTCATCTGTAAAAACATGAATGTGACTTCACTCCCAGAGCTGCTATGAAACCATTGAAAATTTCAAGGAGCTATAAAAATGTAAGAGAGCTGGGATTGGGCCCTCATTCTCAGGTCTATTCCAGTCCTAGGCTGTTTCCCACCGGTGGGTCCCTTTCTGAGCTGCTGGGAGTTTGGATTGATCATAAATCTGTTTTCCAATTCCTCATCTGATCCAGGAAGGGTGAGCGGAAACAACTTGTTTTCGAAGTCCATACTCTATATGAGTGCAGGTGGTTCCAGACCCATTGAATTGTCACCCATTGGGAAGAAAGGGCAATTCCCAAAACTGCGTTGGAATCCAAGGAAGCAAGTGACCCAGAAACCTCTCTGTGACTTCAGACATGGAAGTCGCATGGCCATCTCTGTGATGTGCCTCCCATCCCTTTAAGACAGCATTTCTCTGTGTTGCTCTTGTGTCTAAGGATTTGAATCTCTATTCAGGCTTCCCTCCCACAGTTGGAGCATTCATAACGCAAATAGGATCTAACACAATAGATGGCTTAGGGAGCACAGTTCGAATTCTGAATGCCTCCTGGTTATAATTCAAGCACAGTCGGGAATTAGAACCACGGTTCTAGGGTAGCAGCTGTTGGGCACAGAGGAGTGGTCGGCAGCTCCTTTGTTTTGTGTTTTGTTCACCTCTGGCATGGTGGACTGCGCTGCACTTTATTTTGACTTCAACCGTCTTAGTTCAGGCTGGTGCTGTTTTTTTGTTTGTTTGTTTGTTTTTTATCATAACAGTGAATTATAATCATAATAATTTGGAAACTCATTGACTCAGGTCTTAGATGCTACTGAGGACTTAGCTCAGTAATTTTCATTTGTTTTGGTTTAGCAGTTTATTATTTTTAGCCTCCAATTACACACTCATATAGTTATAAAGCACCTCTATTATTGAAATTGTTTCCCAACATAAATAACTTGAAGTTGAGAGCTTAAACCTCTTTCTCATGGAAACTATTTGTTTATAACTCAGTTTTTTAGAACCCAAGTTTCCTTAGTAAAACATCCCATAATGGAACAGCACACGGTGATTTTAAATCCACTTTGGGGAGAAAGTTCATTGTAAGCCCAGGTCCTGGAATAAATTCTTGGCTCTGCCATTTGCTACCTGTGGGCCTTTGTACAGGTCTCTGTTTCTTTAAATGCCTGACACTTGGAAATATGCTCTTCAGGGTAAAAATACCCACCTCACAGAGTTGTTGGGATGATGAAATAATGAACAAAAAGTGCCCACATTATAGCAGCACTCGCAGAATATCCTTTCCCCTCTTCTTCATTAGAATGGCACACCATCTCATTCATTTCTGTATTTTAGTGCCTATCAAATGGAAAACACTCAATGATTATTAAATGAATTAATAGTTTTTAAAAAAATATTTTTAGAAATCATCAAATTGGAACTATGCCTACATGCCTACATTTGTGGTGGATTTTTTTTTTTCATTTGACAAATATTTATTGAGCCCCTGCTATGTGGCAGGCACCGAGCTAAGCCTCAGTGAGCTCAATGATTAGCAAACACACAGTCCTTGCCTCCATGAAGCCTTCTATCTAGCGGGATATTAGCATTTCCATAGTTTCCCAGAGGAAATGTCAGTGCTCCTCAGGTCTGGGGTTTTATAACAATGTCACTTAGACCTAAGTGAGAGGTGTTTATAAGATCAGCAAAGGGCCAGCTCCCATACAATGCATAACTGTATCAGAGGAAAAGAATACAGTCGATCCAGACCACTTAACCATAGGAACAGAACCACCTGGGAAAGTAAAAAAATGTGTCATGATCTGCTAGTCCAGGCCCGTGGTCGGCAAACCACTCCTCGCGAGCCACATGCGGCTCTTTGGCCCCTTGAGTGTGGCTTTTCCAGAAAATACCACGTGAGGGCATGTATGTACAGTGCAATTGAAACTTCGTGGCCCAGGCGCAGAAGTCGGCTTTCGGCCTGGGTGAGTCTATTTTGAAGAAGTGGTTCTAACGCAGAGCCACACTCAAGGGGCCAAAGAGCCGCATGTGGCTTGCGAGCCGTGGTTTGCCAACCGCTGGTCTAGGGTATTGACCTATAGCCCTGACTTAGTGCAGAGTCATTGATTTAGTTTCCCTTCGATGTCCCCCTGGATTTTTGAAGGTAGTTTCAAGGGCCCTCTTCTGCTTTCTTCCATCAAAATGGTCGTGCCGTTGGCCAGAATGGACAAATGCCACGGCCATCTCTGAGGATCAGCAGGGCTCTTTCTAGATGCTACACACAAGATCTTGATCGTCAGAAACAATCTTCTTAAATTTGGGACTTAGACGTTTGAAATTCCCTCCTCTCTTTCTTTCGTACAGAATGTATGTATTGGGCAGAGGGCTCTAGTGAGAAAGGTGGAGGTACTTTTAGTCTGAAAAGATGTCTTTCTACTGTTGTCTTTGGGTTTTCCTAGAGCCTTTTTCTTAAATAGAGATCAAGACCTTCCGTTCTTTCATTTGAAACCCTGTTATCATACAGCAGCCCCGTTGACATGGAGGTAAGGGTAAGCCTTCTGTAGCCCTGTGTTTGGGTTTCAGTCATGGTGGTGAGTCGTGGAGTTTAGTATTTCCCTCCCCACAGGCCAGCCAGGCTTTGGTAAAACCCAGCTGATTGGGCTCTGGTAAAACAGTTTCTCCTGAGAACAGACCTCAATAAGGAAAACAGAGAGCTCTGTGCAGAGCTGACATTTCAAAGCGGTTACTCTTCTCCTTTTCCTGCTAGAAGAGCAAGGGAATTTTTCCAGCTATTCATGGTGAGAACCTGGTAGGGCCCCTGGAGGTAAAATTCATGAACATGTGGAGCCCCTTAGGATTGAGCCCTCTAGGAGTTTTAAATTATCAAGCTTGTCCACAATAAGCCTCCAGTAATTCATTCATTACACTTTAAAGTATTCCTACCCGGTCTGGCATTTGCTCCTGGCCCTCTGATTCCCTGTAGCTGCCTGTTTGTCTCTCTAGTTTTGGGGCCAGCAGTTTATCTGTGATCTCAGTTCTCTGAAGGATCTAAGAAGAATTGTTGATTTCAAGTTTGTTTGGCTTTTTTATTTTTTCTTGTTGCAAGGATGGGAATGACTACTTCTGCTCTCTGCACGTCAGACCGGAAAGTGGACATTACAGTGTGATTTGTGAATATGCCAACACAATCACATGGTCCTGGGCCATGAACTTGGGCAGTTATAGAACAACAGAAACAGCACATTTTGAGTGCTAACCACTTGCCAACATTTCATTAAGTACATTAGCCATCTGACAATACCCCTACAAAGTAGATGCTGTTATTGTCCTCATTTGAGAGGAGATAAATGGAGAAAGAAAGAGGCCATGCGACTTGACCAAGGACGTACAGATTTGATGACAGAAGTTCAAGTGCAGAAGGCTTGACTCCAGAGGTCACATCTCACTGCTGCTCTAGGGCCTCTCCCAGGGCCCAGGGGTACCTGTATCCCTTCATTTTACAGATACACCTGGGCTAAGCATTGTTCCCTGCAGTGGAGAACAAGACGGATGAGGTGCCTGTCCTCAGAACGTGAATCTTACAGTGGGAGAGAGAGCAAATAAGTAAGCAGAAGAATAGGAAGAATTTCAGGATGGCAGTGTGACCAAGAGTGACAGGGAGGCAGCTTCTTTAGAGAGGATGGTCCTAGAAGACCTCGCAGAGGAGGTGACATGAGAGCTGAGACCTGAGGGAGAGACCGGGTATGGGGAGAGCATTCCAGACAGAAGGAGGAGCCAGAGCAAAGTGGGAACAAGCATGGTGCGTCCATTGAAGAGGAGCATGGCCAGCATGGCTGGTTCACGTGAGGGCAGGAGATGTCTTAGAAGAGTCAGAGAGTTGGGAGGGGCCACCCCAGTGCAGGGCTCTGTTGGGCATAGCGAGGAGTTTGGGTATTGCTCTAAAAGCCACGGAGAAGCACTGCAAGATCTTAGGGGTGTGACACAGCCTAAGGCATCTCAATGACACAATGAGGACTCAGACCACGGTCACGACAGCCCACAGACTTCTGTGCCAGATCAGGACCATAGACCGGCCCCCATCCTGGGTCTCTGGGGGTGTGCACATCGAGGAGGGAAACTTGGCCACAAGGCGAGGCTCTGGAGGATGGCCAGTGTTTGCA